GGACAAATCTTTTTGAGGAGGGAGGGTTTCATACGGATTAAGGGAGCAAGATGAAGGATCCTCTAGCTCTACTTTTGGGGCCAATCACAAGAGCTCGTGCAACCAAGCTACGAGCATCCTTCAATGCATTTGCTCAAGAACAAATCACATTGGAGCTTCAAGATCATAGTTATACAAGATGTGAGATTGAACTTGAAGAAGCACCAAAGTTTGTTATGGTGCTTGTGCTGAAGGACGTTGCAAAAGGCGTGCAAAGAGGCTGCCCATTGATGCATTCTACATGGTTCTATACTTAGGCAAATTTAGGAGGATGTTATTTTATTATGAGCTTAAGTATGGGCTCTGTAGGGCCTCTGGCCCATTTGTCCTGTTTTTTTGTTTAAATTCTTTAGTGGACTTAATTAATTAGTGTAAGGTTGGTTGGGCTTATTTTCCAGAGTTGGGCCAACCCTAGATTAGTTTATGTTTAAGTCAGGCTTGTTTTATTTAGTTAGCTTGGACTTGTATTTAATTAAGCCCATTTGGGCCACATTAGGTTTAGGCCTGGGCTAACTTAAGTTAATAGCTAAATTAGGTTTAGCTTTAGGTTATTTATATTGTTATTGTAAGGAGCTGCCAAACAGGCAGCCCAACATTAATTGGAATCAAACCCCAAACGTGTTTTCTTTTGTTCTTCAAGAACAAACCGTGTTCTTCATCCTTAGCATGAAATAGAAACCGAATTTTCCTTAGTAATTAGGCTTGTGAGTTCTACAAAAGATTTAATTGCGCCAAGAATTTCAGAGTGTTTTCAAGAGTACTTGAAGGTAAGTTTCTGATTCTTTGTTCTAAATTTCCTTGTTTTCTCTCTTCAAGAGTACTGGGGGTTTAAAGGGATTGACGGGTACTTCCGTGATTGGCCATGCTTTTTCCGCTAGATTACCTGTTGATTTTGCAAAGAGTACTTGTTTAATTAAGCTAGGATCGTATTAAAGAGGCTTCATGATTGTGGCCTTTAACAAGTTGTTGTGTTGGAACTTGAAGCACCACCTAGGGCTTCTTACCAACTGTTGGGAGACATATGTGCTGATTAGTTAGCCACACCCTAGCCATGCTAATATGTAAGGGATGTGGGCTTTTCTCCACTTGGGGAGTTTTCCATGTTAAATTATCGTGTTATTTATTCTCTTTAATTTCTCATTCATTATTTTATTTTCTCATTTGTTCCTGCTTGAAGCCGGTCCGAAGTTCGGGAAAATAGCGATTTTCCCAACATTAAGTTGTCTATTTTGGGCTGGAAATGATTATATTTTGTGTGTACTAGTTAGGCCCATGTGTTTTGGCCTTAGGGCAGCCCAGTTAGATATTCTTCTTTAGAGTTAGGTTTGTTTGAGGCATATAAATAGCCTCCTTAAGATGTAAAACAGAATTTTTGGCATTTTGGAATCAAAGACAGATTGTTCATGCTCTTGCATGTTTTGCATGTTTTTCTTAATTAGAGCTGGGATTTGTGAGAATTGCTATCCTCTAATTGCAATCAGAATTTAAGGAAACTTATCAACTCATTGTGGCTTTATCTGTGTTCTTTACTCGATTATTGGTGTTTCCGTTTCTGTATAAAACTTGGGGTGCCATAAGAGGGATTCATCTTAATCTTTGATACCGGTTGCCACTCGATTAGGGGTTCTAGGAATTCAATTTCCTTTGGGTGCCTTGTCATTTGCATCTCAATGTCCTAATAAAAGGGTTATGATTTGCTAGATGATGAAAATATTAGTCTAAATCTGAATATAGTGATTATGATTGATGTACCTCATTTGCATTGATGTATTGATAATTGTGATTCAGTGATTCAGATGTGGAAGAACATAATGTATTATTTGCTGAACATGGAGAATCTCTAGTTGTTAGGTGAGTTTTGAATATGCATGTTAAGGAGGAGAGCCTTGAACAACGTGAAAACATATTTCACATTAGATGCTTGATACATGGAAAAGTGTGCATGCTTATTATTGATGAGGGTAGTTGCACTAATGTTGCTAGTGTGAGTATGGTGAGTAAGTTGAATTTGGAATGTCTTAAACATCCTAAACCTTACAGATTGCAATGGTTGAATGATTGTGGGGAGGTGAAGGTGACACGCTAGGTGCTTGTGCCATTCTCTATTGGATGGTTGGTACAAAGATGAGATTTTACAACCGATACTCTCATGAGGGCAAAAAGGTGGTTCTTGCTCCATTGTCACCTCAAGAAGTGTATGCTGATCAGATGAAGATGCTTGAGAGAGAGAGAGAGAAACTTCTGCTTTGAGGAAAAGTGAGAGTGAGGCTTTGAGTTTGAGAGAACAAAAGAGTGAAAAGAGTGAGGTTGGGAAGAAAGAGGCCATAAAAGATACAAAACAAAAAATATACAAAACAAGTTAAAGGCCCAATGGTGAGTGAAACACCGAGAGAAGAGAGAAAGAAACAAACCTTTTATGCGAGAGCTAGAGAGGTTAAGTGTGCTATCGCCTTGAGGCAGCCCGTGTTGCTACTTAGGTTCAAGGAGGTTTTATTTTCTGATACTGACATTAACCTTGACAGTTTGCCTTCTGTGTTTGTTTCTATGTTGCAGGAATTCACTGATGTTTTCCCTGATGAGCTGCCTAGTGGATTGCCACCTTTGAGAGGGATAGAACATCAGATAGACTTCATGCCTGGCTCCACCATTCCAAATCGACCAGCTTATAGAAGCAATCCAATGGAGACAAAGAAGTTGCAAAGGCAAGTTGATAAGCTTATGGAGAAAGGATTGGTGCGAGAGAGCATGAGCCCCTGTGCCGTTCCAGTACTTTTAGTACCCAAAAAGGATGGTACATGGCGGATATGCGTTGACTGCAGGGCGGTCAACAAAATCACTGTAAAGTAAAGTATAGACACCCCATTCCTAGACTTTGATTGACATGTTAGATGAGTTATGGGGCGACTTACTTTACTAAAATTGACTTAATGAGTGGTTATCATCAGCATTAGAATGGCAACCAGCGGTGATTGAATGGAAAACTGCCTTTTAAAAACTAACTATGTTTGTATGTATGGTTTGTATGAGTGGTTAGTAATGCCTTTTGGATTATCTAATGCTCCTAGTACATTTATGAGGCTTATGAACCATGTTTTGCGAGCTTTCTTAGGAAAATTTGTGATTGTGTACTTTGATGATATACTTATTTATAGCAAGTCTCTTAATGATCATGTTGAGCATGTTAGGCTAGTATTACAAGCTTTAAGGTCTGAACAGCTGTATGCTAAGCTTAAAAAGTGCACATTTTGTATAGATAGACTTGTGTTTCTTTGATTTGTTGTGAGTGCGCAGGGTATTGAGGTAGATGAGGAGAAAGTGAAAGCTATCAAAGAATGGCCAACTCCCAAATCAGTTTCAGAAGTTAGGAGTTTTCAGGGTTGGCAAGCTTTATAGAAGATTTGTACAAAAGATTTCCTTCAACTTGCAGCACCACTCATAGGGAAATCAAAAAAGAAAGTTGGGTTTTCAAGTGGGGAGAGGAACAGCAAACAAGCTTTAGACACGCTGAAAGGGAAGTTGACATCTGCTCTATTACTTTCTTTACCTAACTTTTGAGAATACTTTGGAAAATTGAGCTGTGATGCTTCTGGTGTAGGAATTGGGGGCTCTGGTGTAGGAATTGGGGCAGTCTTGATGCAAGAGAAGAAGCCAATAGCCTACTTCAGTGAGAAGTTGAATGGAGCTCAACTCAATTACTCAACTTATGATAAAAAGCTATATGCCTTGGTGAGAACTTTAGATGTTTGGCAACACTACTTACTACCTAAGGAGTTTGTCATCCATATTGATCATGAAGCCCTAAAACACTTGAAGGGTCAACGTAAGCTCAACAAAAGGCATGGTAAGTGGGTTGAGTTTATTGAACAATTCCCTTATGTAATTAAATACAAGCATGGCAAAGATAATGTTGTTGCTGATGCTTCAAGGAGATATGTACTCATTTTACTGCTCTTAGTTCTAAGTTGCTTGGTTTTGAGTATGTAAGTGATTTGTATGGAATGATGCTGACTTGCAATGTTTTTAAACGCATGAGAGGATGGAGCATTTGATGCATATAATCGTAGCATACATTCTACCTCAGGTGACGCGGAACCCAATGAAAATAAATTTCATGAACTCAATGACAAGTTTTGGAAGAGATCAGAGATCTAGAATAAACTCCCCTCTATGGCACCCAAAGCTTAAAGAAGCAAGAACACCAATAATAGAGTAAAAGAATCCAATAATAGAGTAGAAGAATAAGATAAACGCCATAAAGAATTGATAAGTTTACCTTGATTCTTGATGCAATTAGAAGAATGCAATCTCACACCCTCTGAAAACATGAACACGCCTAAGCATGAAGAAGAAGATCTCTCTTTGATTAATTGATTGAATAATGTTGAATAATTACAAAATAGCAAGCTATTTATACTAATCTAAGAGGTCCATGACGCGGAACCCAATGAAAATAAATTTCATGAACTCAATGACAAGTTTTGGAATAGATCAAAGATCTAGAATAAATTCCCCTCTATGGCAGGATTTGGAGATCTAATCCAAATCCACTAAATATTGACTAAATCTAATCAAAATAAGGCTAACTAATCAAGGGTGGTTGAAATATTGGAGGCCCACCCATTAACAAAGCAAAAACTCAAAAATAACTAACTAATATTTGAGAGGCAGGGAGTTGCACAGTCCAGGGCGTGCCAAGGCGCACGGCCGTGCGCGCATTGTATGACTTCCTTCGCGAGAGGCAGAGAAGTGCACGGCCTGGGGCGTGCTAATTGGCACGGGCGTGCGCGCATGGACGAGTGTTCCTCGCGAGAGGCAAAGAAGTGCCAGACGTGTCCAACTCAACATGTGCTTTCAATAATGTGAGAAACTTAGGTGTTCCCCATGCTTCCTTAAACTTTATGGTTGAGTGGTATCGATTCCGTATCATACCCCCTTTCCTCGAAAAGATTCATCCTCGAATCTTAGTTAGAAGCTGAGGTATCCATGCTCTCTTGATCTCCGCTCCATACTTCTTCTCCATACTTCTTTGCATGATTTCTTGTAATTGATCCACTAGGTAGCACTAATGGATTTTTCATGTTGTTCTCCTTGCCCCCTTGAGTTCCATGGATGAGTAATGGCGGATTCGTATCATTCCCCTTTTCCTCGAAAAGGTTCATCCTCAAATCTGCATTAATGTCAAAAGGAGACAAATTACTAATATTGAAAGCAATGGAAACATCATACTTTCCTGGTAAGTCTATCTTGTAAGTGTTGTCATCAATGTGCTCCAAGACTTGTAATGCTCTATCTCCATGTTTATCAAACTTAATCTTCCTTTGGGAGGGAAACTTTTCCTTGCGAAAATGTACCCAAACCCAATCTCCAGGTTTAAACACATCATGCCTTTTTCTCTTGTTGGCACGGTTGGCATAGTTTTTGTTCTTTATGCTCATATGAACCCTAGCCTTAGCGTGCATCTCCTAGCGTTGCATCTCCTTCACCAATTGTAGGCTTTCTTCACTTTGAGGAAATCCCGTTGCAACAAAGAATAGAACTAGAAAGGTAGAGAAAAAAGTGTTAATGTTAGGTCAAACTATGCAAAAACTCCTTAAAACCAAATCATCAAGACTGGTCTACCCTCCTCACACTGTTTTGGATCTCTCTCTTTTTTCACATACACAATTTGTTTCTCTTTTTTCACTCACAATTTGGGCCATTTAATGTTTTGTTATTTTTGTGGCCTCTTTTCCTTCATCCTTACTCTTTTCTCTCTTTGTTCTGTGGCTTCTTCCTCCCCTTTTCTTCACTCTTTTCACACTCTGTTCTTTTGAAACTCCAAAGCCTCATTTCTCATTTTCTTTCAAGGTCGAAACCTCTCTTTCTCTCTCAATTTATCCTTTTCCCTTTGAATCTTCATATACTTCTTTGAGGTGATAATGGCAACAGAAACCACCTTTTTCCCCTTATGAATCAAAGAGTATCGATTGTTGAATCCATCATGATGTGCTTCTTTCTATCCATATTGCCATTGGTCTTCCCAACAATAGATTGTCCAGCTTGCATAGGCTTACTTATATCACACCAAAAATTTCATCTTTCATACCATCCAATAGGAAATGGCAATCAAGCTTACCTGGTTAGTCACTTTGACTTTCCCCACAATCATTCAACCATTGCAACCTATTAAGGCTTAGGATGCTTGCAAAAGTTAAGTTTCGTGTTTACCATGTTTACACTAGCAACATTTAGTTGCAAACTACCCCCATCAATAATAAGAGTTACACACTTTTTTCCACTAATCAAAACATCTAGTGTTGAAATATGTTCTCACGTTGCTCAAGGCTTTCTCTTGACATTGCATGTTCAAAAGCCAGTCTAGCAACCAAAGCTTCTCCAATGTTCAGGAAGTATTAAATTTTTCTGAATCATTCATTATCATCATCTAAATTAGGCATATCATCATACATCACTACATTCAGATTTCAGAACTTAATATTTTCCACATCATCTTTATCAATCATAACCCTTTTATTAAGGACATTGAAGATGCCATAATTGCCCTTTCCCCAAACATTTAAAACATTTAATTTCTCTAGAAGGGGTTGTTAGATTTAGAAGTTACCTTTTGTTGCTTTTGAATGCGAGCTTTGGAATAGCCTCTTTACCTTTTGAGTTGAAATCTGCTCCTTTAGGGGAAATTAGAACCCTTAAATTCCCTCTTCTCACCTTCTTTAGGCCATTTAGATCCCCATGTGTTGCTGGAATACTTGTTTGGTGGATTCTCCTTTTTTTTCTGTCTTTTCAAGTTTCATGGCCATATCTATCATATTTCCTCCAATGTATCATACCTATAACATCTCTAAAGCCATCAGCAATGTCTTTATTTGAGACCTCCAAGGGAATCGTGGACATGGTGATTTGCTTTCCTCTTTCAATCTGGCCCTTGCCATGCAAATCTCCATCTCCTTGTAGTTACTCTTCCACCCACTCCTTCCTCCTTTGCACCATTTCTAGCTTAATTTTGTTATGTAAATCCCTTAAAGTAATGAGTTAGGGACAAATTTTTTGATGCATTAGCTCTTTTCATGAGAATCCCATGGTGGTACAGGTCGTAATCCCTTTTCCTTTCTTCTTTCAATAGCAATTGTTTCCCACCAAACATAGC